AGGACAGGGAGGCAGCTATTGCTTGGAGGGAGAGTCCCCCTCCCTACGACCACGTGTCAGGAGCGGAAAAACGGCCGCGAACAACGTGTGAGGGGCGGAAAAATGGCTGCGGACCACTCAGCCAACATGGCCAATTGTGAGGTGGTAACACCTCTCTAATCTTGGCTGATTTTTAAAAGGTCCCCAGGTTAACCAGGCACCTGGTTAACCTGGTTCATATTGGGTGTGAGATCTTCAGGAAATTCTAGGGCTGAAGGGTAAACTGGGATGTTGAAAAACATCTCAAAAGAAGGCAATAGAAACCATTCCATGCTGTTGCCAACAAAATGCTGTGTCCATGGAATTATTGGGAGTTGAGCTTGACTGGAAATCAGGTAGTAGTTGGGGGAAAAGCAATTGTCTGTCTCCCATTCACCCCCTGTCATAACCAGGAACAGGGGGGAAAAAGAAAACCCTCCTGAGTTCAGATCTGAAACTCTTGAGATGCCAGTAGGGAGCTGAGGATTTTCTCACCTGCAACACCTGCCTCTCGTTCTCCTGCTCCTTTGCTAGAAAAGTTTCAGCCACAGTCACCGCTTGGGTGCAGGTTTCAGGGACTTGCTCCCACACTTGGCTCTGGATCTCTTGGGGCAAGATGGTCAGGAACTGCTCCAGAATCAACAGCTCCAAGATCTGATCCTTGGTGTGGCTCTCTGGCCTTAGCCACCGACAGCAAAGCTCCCGAAGCCGCCTGCAAGCATCCCGCGGCCCCCTGGCCTCCTGATATCGGAACTGCCGGAAGTGTCGTCTTCGCTTCTCGGTGGCCACAGGCTCCCTCTTCAAGATGGCGGCCTTCACTTTCCCATAGTCCCGTCTGTCACTAACATCCAAACTCAAGTAGGCCTCGCGAGCATCCCCATTCAAAGTTGGCAAAAGCCGGGCTACCAGTTCTTCCTTTGACCACTGGCAGGCGTAGGCCACATGTTCAAAAGAAGCTAGAAGAGCTAGTGTGTCCTCCCACGGCTCAAATGCTATTGGCCACCTCCCCCTGCATCCAAAATGAAGGGGTTGTTCTCTCTCTTGGCCTTGGATTTCCCAATGCTGGATCACACCTACATCTGGCTCTTCCTTTATCAGCGGAGACGATTTCCAACTCAAGACTTTACCCGCACGAAGGACACAAGGAATTTGTTCTGCTTTCTCTGGAGCTTCTCCTATATTGAAGTTTGCTGTTCCTTGTTCTTCTCTTTTGATTCCATGTAACCGCAGAGGCACTTGAATTAAGGGCCTCAAGTCTGCCTTTGCCTCTGTCTCTACCGCCATTTTCACTCTCATGGCACCACCTTCAAGTCTCCCTTCCGAAGACTCCCTTTCAGAGGAAGATTAACCTGCCTCTTGACTCAGTTCTAATTCAGTCCGTGCGTAAATCTGTTTGAAGGAGCTGTATAGGAAACAGTTGCAATATTTGTTCAGTTAGCTGATTAATCCATTATAAAGCCTTTCACAATTAAACGTCTGTCCCTTCTTAGAAGAAGCCTTTCCTCTTTTTGTCTCACAAATCACGGAAAGCCTTCTCTAAGATCTACCTATGTAACTATCTAAATCTAACTCTTGCTGCAATATATCTGTGCATCATCCAGAAATGAAGAACACTTTTTTTTTCTTTTCAGGACTTGTGTTATGGGTAGAAAAATGTATCAGAAGTGAATACATTAAAACATTTATGAGTAACCGGCTAACAATTTTTCTTTTTCATCAAGAGATTATAAGACAATATGATGCTCTCCAAAAAGGGGGTATTGGCAGCATGTCTGACTGACAAAAGTCAATTATGAAATATAAAGAGAGATTTATTGGTATAAATCAGAGAGTCAACTGAATCTATTCTAGCCCTCACAAATACCAAGTGTCTAACTTGAAATTTACAAACAAAGCATTTAAGCCAAGTTCAAATCTGTTTTCATTTAGGGTTCCTGATGCCAAAATCAGAATTTGAAGTATTGCTGTAAATTGAATTAAAAGGGATTTGATTAAATGCTTCCAGCACTCTTAACAAAACCCAAACTCCTTCCCCTAATATCTCTGGGATCCATTTAAGCTTGCTTGAAAACTGAGGTAAACGTCTCATCTTTCTCTTTCTTTTTAACCTGCATTCAGTGGTAGGTAGGTTATTTTTGAATCCAGGACTCACTTCTGATAAAACCAGAGACCCCAAACTCCTTTTTGCCCCCTGCAAAGAGAAAGTTCCTCTTGATTAGCTAGCCAATCAAGCTCCCCTGCCCTTGTTTAGACAAAGGCATATTTTTCAGTGTGTATGTTTGGAGGAAACTAAGACAGTTTGCAATGCACAACTGGGAAGGCAATAAAGCTAACTATTTTTTTTAAAAAGTACATATGCTCTAAAAGGAGCCATACGGAGACAGCATCACCTGATCTTGATAGCTTTGGGTCTCTCAGTCCTTCAGCTGAATATATTCTCCTCCGGCACCATGCTCTTCCATCATCTTCCAGATCCCTTTTAACTCACCCCCAGAGTTGCTTCCACCGTAACGTCCAACTTCCCTGTTGGAACACCCCATTTCCCCCCCCCCCAAAGAAGGCGGAGCAGGAAGGAGTTTAGTTCTCCTCCCAGCCCATTCTCTCATACTTGCCCTCTATCATATTAACCCCTGGAAAACTTCATTCGTGGAAAACGCGTCTGCAGAAAGAAGAGACCGCATCTGGCTTGCCAGCGCTCCCTGGTTCCCGTGATTTGAAAAGTACTTTTTTCACGCAATGAAGCATTCGAGATTACAAAAAAAGAGCAAGAGAGACAAACATGCAAACCGTAACCGGGTTTCCAAATTCAGCCTGGAAGTAATGTTGCTGGGGCTGGTGGCGGGGGGAGCCCTGAGGTTTGGATGTACGGGCTAAGTTATGATTACACATCACTGGTTGTGCAAAAATCTGGTAACATCACGCATGTCGTTTTGTGCACCATCTGTTTCTATTTAGCAAGGACGGTTCCCTTTTAATTTTCCTTATGTTGCCTTTCCCCTAATATATGCAGGCATGGGGGTGGGTGCAGTTCTTATGTAGCTATGCAAGCTTGCAATCTGCCCATTTTTTTTCTGTTCCAGCTGCCACCAGAAAAAGTAGGGCCATCAGAACAATAAAAGTGACCTCATTTCCCCTCTGTGAAATATGGATAGTATGATATGACTCTGCACCCAGGGTTTTTGTTTTTTTTGTCTTAAAGTCAGTTTTTGACTCCTGGTGACTCAGAAGTGCCTTGCCATTGCCTCCTTCCTAGAGCTGAGAGAGAGAGAGTGGCCCACAGGTGCCCAGCTGGCTTTGTGCCCAAGGCAGCACTAGAACTCACAGCCTCCCAGTTCCTAGCTTGACACTTTAACCCAGTGTTTCTTAACCTCAGCAACTTTAAGACTTGTGGTCAACTCCCCCCAATCTCCCCCCCCCCCCCCCTCGGCGGGGGGGGCTGGGGGGGGGGGGGCAGGGAAGCTGGAAAGAGCAAGAACTTTAAGATGTGTGGACTTCACCTCCCACAATTCCTCCCACCACCCGTGCCGGCCTGGGGGAGTTGGGGGTGGTTACAAAAGGTTCACGATTTTTG